ATTATTATATATTGTTCTTACTGGAGATTAGTCGTAGGGACGATCTGCTGGGCAAGATTGGTGAGCCTCCTTCGCCGGGTACGCTTGCTGTTTCAGAGTGGGGGTAGTACCTGCAAAAGAGACTCCGATGCTAAAGTTAGCGTTTGTGGGTGTATGGGTCTCGTATAAGTAATGCACGTACCTTTGTGTAAATTAGGGTTTTACTAGGCCTTGGGCCTGAGATCGGTTATAATCTGTTTAGATAGTGGGCCTTGTCCTGGTCGATGTTGCACAGCACGTGTCCGATGTCAATCTGCGTTGTGATGCTGAGCTTGAGCTCGGCTTAGCGGTACGGATAATACATATATATTATTATATTTTTTTATAATAGTCCGGATACATCGAAATGAGAGGGATTCAAAGATAGTATAAGTATAAGATTGTATAATTGATGATGACTTAAATAAATTAATTTGTACTACCTATACTAACAACATGCATCTATTTTTCGATAGCTTATCTCATCAGAACTGCACAGTTAAGTGTGTTTGACTTGGAGTAATATAGGAAAATGGGTGACCTTTTGGGAAATTTCCCAAAAATTGTGCAAGTAAGGACAAAACACACTGAAAAGTGAAGTATCGTGAAATAGAATCCTTGAAATACCAAATATGAGGGTTGTTATATTAATAAATTTATTAAAATTAAACAAAATATTTTTGATGGATATATCCGTCAGTAAATTCCGATGGATAATTACTGACAGATATATCTCACGGATTAAATTGTTTCCAATAGATTTTTTTTACGCCCATTTTTCTGACGGATTTGCATCCGTTGAAAATATAAAAAAAAAATCGACGGGTATTCCTTTTTACCGATGAATTATGTCTGTCAAAAATTTGTGTTTTTCTTGTAGTGAGGGTTGATTGATTTGTAAATGGAAGTGGTCTCTATATGGCTTGGCATAAAGGGTTTGATTCCTATATGCTTCAAATTGGCTATATGAATTATGAGTATGATTGTTGTGTTTATGTGAAGAGCCTTGATGATGGTTCTTTTATTTTTCTACTACTTGATGTTGATGATATGATTGTTGCTAACCATTAATGTTAATAAGTTAAATCCATGTTGGGTAAGGAGTTTGGCTTGAAGGACTCAAGTGTTACCAAAAAGATGATTTTGATAGATATTCACATGTATAAGAGTTCTAAGATACTATGGATCTCATCACAACAAGGCTATGTTGAGAAGGTTATTCTACACGAATTTAGCATGAACAATGCTAAATCAATCAATACACCATTAGAAAATTACTTCAAACTTTCTAAGGAACAATACCTACCTAAAGAGACAAAGACAAATGTAGAAATGGAGTACATTTCAAAGGTTCTATATGAGTGTAGTTGGTTGCTTGATGTATGTTATGGTTTGGACTAGATCGGATTTGTCACATGCTATAATTCAAGTTTAAGTTTATTTCCAAGCTATCTAATAAGTAAGTTGGGAAGTAGTTAAGTGGATCTACAAGGACCTAACAAGTAGAATAAGTCATGGTATTATGTTTGGTAGTCAACTAGGTGATCCTTCAGTTGTGGGTTTATTATGACAATGTTTATTTTTACTTTTGTAGGAAATCAATAGTTTTTAGTCAATTGTGGCAATGGCAACAACTAAAACAAAATACATGGAAATAGCATAGGGTATTAAAGAGGCCTTATGGTTTATTGGGCTAGTAAGAGAGTTTGGTCATTGAATAAGGTGGAGTTCAGTTGCATTGTGATATCCAAAACGTTTCTTATTGATTTGAGGTTCCACAAAATCAGGGAGCTGATGACATCTAGTCATATATTTCTTAAAAAGGTTCATACTTCTAAGAATGCAACTAATATGTTAACCAAGTTAGTAACCATTGACAAGTTTAAGCATTGCTTGGACTTGTAAAACATTTCTTATTTCTAAAGATAAATGTAAACCTCAACTCAAAAGGCATACGAAAGATTCTTGTTATTGTTATCTCTTAATGGACTTGATATTCACCAAGGTGGAGATTGTTGTGCATGACTCATATTTAGAAGGGGCAAACAAATTCTAGAGTAGAGCAAATTGGGCTTAGACTGTCTATTTGTTGGGTTACAAACTAATTAAGTTTGGGGTGTAGGGTTGTACACTCATACTTCATATATGTTTAATGTAATCTTATTTCTAATGAATAATATATTCACAATTGCTCTGGTTATAAGAGCGTAAGCATATTATTAAACCTTGTTAAATTGTTGTTTGTGTGTTGAGTGTTTATTCTCCTCCCTAAGAATTTGGTTACTATTATTAACTAGTGGTATCAAAGCTGATAGTTTGACTAGGTGGTTGACTTAGATGAGTATAATGAAATTAATAGGTAGATTTGGACTTGTATCGAAAGTCTTATTGATGATAGGTCTGTGTGTGGAGAGTTTTTCTATTAGCATGGAGGTTAGGAGGCGTGTCTTGCTATCATGAGTTAATAGTGGAGTGACGATGTAACTAAGTACCTAATTAATCAGGACTAAGCATCTATATGTCACCATTGAATGCTTGTGGACTGAAAAGATAGCTTCTTTTGGATTGAAATGATAATTTCTTTGTAAGAAAGGTTAAACCATGATCCTTTGTTTGAGAGGAGAATTGTTGGGATACAATACAAGTCTCACATTATTAAAATAAGAGAAACATCAGTCTATAAGCATGTGAATATCTCCATTGGTATATATTATGCCTTTTGGGTGATGATAGAAAATAAATCTATGAAAGTTTAAACTCAAAATAAACAATATCATACCAATATACAGACGTGTATGTAAACCCCTGATGAACAACGGAAGTATTGGATGATCGAGCGAGAAGTTCACTAATTTGACTGGACTAAATTATCAATAATGTTCTCTAAAGCTAGTCATGGTAAGTAATGACATGGAATGATCTTTGGAATAAGAGGAATTCAATTTTGCAAAGGGAGCGTCATGTACAGTCAACTAGTAATGAATCCACAAAATCATCGAGGATGACTAGATAGTTCATAAAATATATTCTCCTCCATATAATATGGGACACAAGGGTGTGAAAAGCCATCTAAGGTTATATAATCATCTGTATCACTGTATGGGTTGACTACTTAATTAGCTGATGAAAAATGGTAGAGGTCTCCGAGTTGGGGTTGGCAAGTTTGCTAACTGAAACCCCGAAGCTCAAAAGGAAATGGAGAAGTTCATTGATGAGTTTATTATAACTCCCAAAGAAAGAGATGTTTTTGCTTGCGACCTTGAGATTTTGCTTGGAAGATGATGCTCAAACTGTGTGTAGATATCCATAGGAAGAGTGTGTGAAAGGGATGATACAGTTTATTCATGTAAATATTATATAAAGATCTCCAAGTTGTTTTTGGATCTGGGAGTTAAACGACTGTTTGAAAAAGAAGAAAAAAAAATAATACCGAACTAGTTGGAATGTAGTCATTCTGCTTGAGGCAAAAATTAATAAAATCTCAATTTCCTCCTTTAAATCTTAATTTCTAGATTTTTTTATTAATTTTATTGATTTTTTATATTTTAAAATTATATTTATATTCACTAGTATGTTGTTGATTTGAGTGAAAGCCATGATTTCAAATTTCTTAAACAAAGTCTTTGGGTTTATGTCTTGTTCATGAAACAAATTGTAGCCAGAAAAGAATTATAAGACTATTAAAGATGGTAAGCCGAATATATAAGTTGCGGATATTTTGCATATAACATGATGATAATTTTTTGTTTTCGAAATTCATGTTAAATATCGAATATCGTGATAGATAATGAAAAGGGAGTTTGGAAGTTTTAGATAGAAGAAAGAGGTAAGATTTACTAGATTTTAAATGTAAACTTTATTAACTAAAAAAATTAGACATCAAAATCATTCAGTATTTATACTAAAACTAGACAAGCTTTAATTAAACTTAATTTTGAATAACCTTATTATTAAATATTACGGTAAATTTATCAAGTAATAGATACATGAGTTTAATTATTATATGTCGTCATTAGTTATAATACTTTTTACGTTGTCAACTATTATCATAATTATTTTTGGACGATTTTTAATGTTGTTATTATAAAAGGTAGAATAAAATAATCATATATAACGAATTTTCGATTTGTAAAGAATGATAATATAAAATAAAAACTACACTATTAATATATTTTAATTAAATAATTAACTGCAAGCGTAAATTCTGGTATACAATCAATAATATATCAAAATTAAATTCATAATAAAGAACTACACATTTTACTAAAAGCTAACATTTATTAAAATTTATTTAAAGTTACCTACTTTAGGACGAATAAAATCATTTTTTTAATTATAAGTAAGATTTCAATTTGTATATGTACAGTTAATATTAAAAACAATTATACTAAGATTCAACAAGAATCTATGATAAGAACCATTGAGGTTAGTATAATAGTATGTTTGAACCTTGTTAATTTATGATAAACATAATTTTTAAAATAATTATTATAAGAATCAATAAAATAACAATTTGTAATAAAAAAATCAATTTAGAGATTCTTTACATTTTCAACGTATTAAAATTAACTTCTTAAAAGAAAATAAAATAAGAAAACTATTCTTCCCCGTGGTAAATTGTAAGGAAGATTAAGGATATATGCTTAATTAGATAAAAAAAAATGAAAAAGAAAAAGAGGATATATGCTTAACAAAGACAAAAGCAAAGGAAAAAACTTGAAAAATTAAACCAAAGAAGTAATCACGCAACGAGAAAATTCGTACGTGAAAATAACAATGACGAGAGGCAACAACGGATTGTCCTTTTAGTCGCTTTGTCCAATCGAAACTCGACAACGTTTTTGACGAAACCACTCTGGTTTCGCAAAACCACCTTCCCCGTCCATTTTTTCCGCTTTCACTTTTCCTTTTCTTTTGGTGGAATATAATAATAATAACCAATGATTTTCGGTCTTTATGTTTTGTTTTTATGTTTTAATGTCCACTTTAGAAAAAAAAAATGAATAGAGGGAGGAGACTTAAGGTCACGTTCATCTCCCTCACTCTCTCATCACGTACATAAATAAAGTTGTTGATGGCCTAGAATTCCATACACAGGAAGAAAGAAGCATAGAGAAAACTATGTCCATAGAGGGAAATTGAAGGGTACCACTCTCTCATCTACTATTAATGATTGAAACTCGTGTTGGAATTGTGTTGTTGGCAGTGGTAAGAGAGGATAGATCATAGATCAAACTGAAAAGTGAGTGTCTAGATCATAGGATAGAGTAGAGACTAGAGTGATAGAGATCAAACATGGGGAGAGGAAGGGTGCAGTTGAAGAGGATCGAGAACAAGATCAATAGGCAAGTTACGTTCTCAAAGAGAAGGTCTGGTTTGCTCAAGAAAGCACACGAGATCTCTGTGCTTTGTGATGCTGAAGTGGCTCTCATAGTCTTCTCCACCAAAGGAAAACTCTTTGAGTACTCTAGTGATCCCTGGTAATTACATAATTCAATTACCATACCCTTACATATATATTCAACCCTCTTTATTCTAATCCCTACTATATGTGTTCTGATAAATTATATATATTTTTACCCTTTTCTTCTCCTCATATCATGTTCAATTTATTTGCTTATGGATCTTGTCAATTATGTCTACTATAATATCTATACCTCTTCATGATTTTCTTACCCCTTTATGGTATGATACTTCGTAAGGTTTAATTAATATCTCCTAATTTCAATTAGTTTCTAGTGTAAATAGTCTGTCATTTAAACTAAATTGTAATACGTGTTAATTTTCATGAAAATTATCTTAAAATTCATCCGTATTATATTACTAATAATTTTGATTATTAATCACCTGACTATATGAAATTAAGATTCTAGTTTCGAATTCCCCTTTGGGTATAGTAGTTTAGTGACTTTGATGGAATCGGAGACTTAATATCAACTTTTCATTATGAATATTTGGGCCTAGCTATAGTAATCTTCATTATATAATTGTCGCGTATAATCATTGGTTTTCCTGTACTTGAAAAGAGAGTCATCATCATGCAGTGGCTTATACTTTACTATTTTAATTAGCATAACATATCAAAAGGGAGAGAGAAAGAGTTGCATGAGTTTATTAGTGTCTGAGGGTGGGTTTGAAACTTGTATATATCACTCTCTCCGCATGGACATATAAAGCGTACGTGATTCGCTATTTGAAAGCAGCAGCCTGATCTGACAAACTCAGCCACAGACACATAAATGAGAAAGGAGGAACCAGAAAAGTGACCAATCACTGTGACAACATATAGTTACAGGGTCATGAATTTATGTATGAAAATTGAAGCTGTTATATGTTGTGCTTAATTCACTATAGAAGCATACCACACTTGACTATCATATTTAGAAGCTAATCAATTCAATTTAGAAATAGCACACTTGAGTATACACTATACAATAAAGCTGTTATAGTGCTCCCAAAACCCACCAAAAATCAATGTCACTCTCGCACTCGAGTATATGCACCACTTTTTACCTCAGATTACAAATTTACAATGCAGTTGCCCGTACCATATTATTGTCCAATTTATTATATATTTTGTGTTAGTTATATAACCTGCTTTGTTTGACCTACCATATATTTTTACTGGCATTTGGTCTAGGATAAATCAACAGGTGGAGTGTAGGTACTAGGTACACTTTCTGAGAATGCACAGATTAAGGGAGGTAACTCGTGAGTTGGCATATGGTGGATTAATTAGAATAAAAGAAATTGTTGTTATAGGCCTATGTTATTTTCTTTAATTTGATATTGAATTTCCATTAGTGTATAAGTTTAACTGTTTAACAACCTTTATACTTCGTTTATAATCTAGCTATCAAATTAATATATACAGAACACAGAGTATTAATACTGAAAACATTGGCTTGGACTTCCATTAATACTGATGGAGGAATTTTTGTTTATTTTTTTCCCCTCAAACACAGAATAAAATAGATTTAAAATGCACACATGTAAAAGTTTTACATTATGTGGTGCATGATGTCATTTTACGTACTTTTTGTGCTATAAAATCTTACAAGTTTTTTTATGGTTTTTTATGTCGAAGTCAGTCAATAATATTCGTATTGAAAATATTATTCGCAAATACAATAACTCTTCCATTTATTTTGGTAATATAATACCACTACTTGAATTTGAACTTAGACTGAAAGCTTTCAATCGAGACAATTAACGTACTTAAACATAACAGTACGTGTACAGTCGAAAGGAAACACGTGTGTCTTTTTCAATTCTTGGACGAACACGAGGGACCAAGCTGAAGCTTAAATCTAATTGGCTTAATTATATATCTCGTGTTTGGATCCGAAACATTAGTTTTGATACCTTGCAAGTAAAAATCAACAATCTCGAAGCGAGGTACTCCTGTAGTGTCATAGATATGGACTAAGAAATGTTAGTACCTCTCTTTCACTACTCGGTTAAATATATTAGAAATTATGAAAAATTGTAAGTTTCACTTTTTATTTAATATACTACATACATAATTTAGTAATTTTTGATAAATTATAACTAATAATAATGTTAGATAGAGTCTATTTAGATAAAAAAATTTAAAAGCGTTTTTAAGTTTTTTTTATTAACAAATATTCTGTATTTTTTAATATAAAAATTCTATAAAAAAATATTTCTAATTTATATCTAAATAGGTTTATAATGCATGCCTATTGCTTTTCTTAATCATGATGCTTGAATATATTTGCTTTGGCAGTAATCTTATGAGATACAATCTTAACCAAGGGTCTTCTCCCATCAAGTGTTTATCCTAAATTTCAACTTTGTTTCTCCCTCTTTTAGTGCGAGTTTTTTTACCACTCAAGCCCTTGTAAGAATAATGTAAGTGAGAGAGAAAAATATACAAAGTTTGGATTGGACGACTTTGTGTGAAACACTGATATATATATATATATATATATATATATATACGAAGTTATAACGTGTCAATGGGGTTAGTGCATTTAAAAGTATTGTTTTTCCATCATGATCAACCAAGATTCATGAACTCAGAATAGTAAAGTTGAGAGGAAAGATGATGAAAAAGGTATGGGTGATGATTTATTGGTTTTCTATTAGTCATGGTTCTACTAACTTGGTTAGTATTTTGGGTCATAGCTAGAAAAGTTAGATCTTTGTTATAGATTTCTTCTGAAAAATGTGGATTGGTGTTCTTGTCCTTTACTCAATTCAATGCATAAAGCAGATTTTTTTTATAAGTTACTTCATATAATAAAGACCTTGTACGTAAGGATCGAAGAACTCATTGTCCTATCTCATAATGTTATTTTGTTTTGTCTGATTAAAAAAATAAAAAAGTTGTGTTACCAAATCCATCAGTGGTTAAAACGGAAAAGAAATGTGAAATAGTTGATGGATACTCCTGATTAATTAACACAAAGAATATATCTTCATGTAATATTCTTTGAACTGAAGTTCTGTATCCAGGTTTTGTTATCAATATACACTATCATTGCTCACTTTTCCTTTCCTTTGTCAACAGTATGGAACGAATTCTTGAACGGTATGAGAGGTATTCATATGCGGAGAGGCAACTTGTTGCAAGTGAACCACAAACTGTAGGTTTTTATCTCTTATAATAAATCATGAACTCATTTTATTGATATATTTATTAATTGATAATAATCTCTTATAACAAATTATTATTCGATAATAATTGGATATCATCTTTTCCTTTTTCTCTAAACTCCACCTACATGTTTAGAGAGAAAGCAAAGAATGAAATTAAATCTTATCTATGATGTTTGATAAGTTTCTAAAAGTCAACTCATTAAAATTTTTTACACTACTGCAAAAGAAAAAAAAAAAACCCACCTACAATCATTTTACCCATTTGATTAGCTAAGCCAGCTGCTTTATTCATTTGTATATTTGTACGTCAATTTTGTTCAAAGAGAAGTTTTGAAATGAAAAAAGCCCAATTATTTTCTTCTATTTTATCAATTAAGAGATAAAGTAGATATATCCGTTGCAACTTGCTGTTCCTATAAAAAATTAGAAGAATCAGAGAACACTAATTTTATTACGTACGATGTTAGGAAAATTGGACTCTAGAACATGCAAAGCTCAAAGCAAGGTTGGAAGTCCTACAGAAAAATCAAAGGTATTAAATTAGTTCCAACAAGGGCTTTTGTGTAATTAATATAATATAAAACAGTAGGGTTTTCCAAATTATGTTGCAGAAATTTTATGGGACAAGATTTGGATGGCCTAAGCATCAAAGAGCTTCAGAATTTGGAGCATCAGCTTGATAGTGCTCTCAAACACATTAGATCACGGAAGGTAATAAAACCATGCAGTAAAGAGTTTTGCGATTAATTAGTTTGAATTCAATGTCTTTCTGACTATTTAATTATATGATTTGCAGAACCAACTCATGTATGAATCTATTTCAGAGCTTCATAAAAAGGTGAGTCTTGTCTTCATCTTTTTATTAAGTATAGGTTGCAAAATAGCCATATTGCTCAACGAGTCAATAGAAGGTGTAGACAATTTTGTTCTCTTTCTCCAGAATTGGAACAACTCATGTTTATGAAGGCAACTTAATTGACGAATATATGATGCTATGAGAAGCCATAATTAAAGTAAAACAAATGCAGAAAAATAACTCTGAATGATTGTTCTTTGAAAAATCTTATTTCATTTTCTCTCTCTTATTTTCTTTTTCTATAAGTATTGGCGAAGATATTTATCCAAATAGAGACTAAATTAAAACCCAAATGTTAGAATGTACGCATAAGGAGACACAACTCTATTATTTATACTACTATGAAAGGAAGCCCTAACATGTTTAACAAGCTAACACATTAAGTCACATTCTAAGGACTTCAAATGTGAAAGACAAATAACTAGTTGCTTCAACATATCCAAACTTGATGATTAGATGAACATGGATAGGATCAATAGACACAAAGATGACACATATCATGGATGTAGAAGGTCGAAGGTAATATAGAGAGCCCAAGATTCAAATCTTTCTCCAGCCATATCTCTTTTACTCTGGTCTTTTATATATACATAAAGAAACAGTTAGAATTAAATGTTATGGAGTAATTAATTAAGAGAACATGTAAGTTGATTGATTAAAATCAAATTGAAGGGGGAAATCAAGCACACATAAGAGAAAATTTAGAGATAAGTTTGGGAGAGGTGAAGCTTAACCAATACCAGCAAACTTTGCTTAATTAGAATCATTAACAAGGATGATATTGTGAGGTGCTTTAGGAGGCAAGAAGTTGTAAATATGAGAGGGATTGGTTGTGTTATTTGAAGCACCATAATCTATAATCCATGATCTGATAAATATAGAGTGAAATAAGGAAATTATATGTAGGATTACCAATATGCGTTATAGTTGTTATAGGGAGGAAGACTATTGGGTTGCCTTAAGTTAAAGGTGCTACTAATATTAGTCGGGAGGAAAAGAATAAATTCCCTCAAAACCTCTTCTGCCATGATCACAAGCCCTATAACCACAATGTCTTCCCTTAGTCAATCTAGGACTCGTTTCCTTGATAAGCACAACAAAATTAATAAGCATCAATAGAAAAAGGTTATACCTTATTAGACTTTTTACACTAATTGTTAAATAATTCATATAAAAAGTCACCTGATGATACTATAAAATATTGTATTGTAATGGTACAATGATCATATTACTAAAAATTATTTTTATTTATAATATATTTGATATATATTAGTAAATATATTCTCATAATTGTTAAAAAGTATAAATATATAAATTATGATGACATATAATATATGTTATTAAATCGTATTTAAAATTAACACTAAATTTATATCATTATATATAATATTTCTTATGGTTACATTGACTTTTTAACTAATGTAAAAATAACATTTTATATTAAGTATAATTTTAATTGATGTAAAAAAAGGACATTTTACATCAGTTAAAAATTGAGTCATTACTAAATGTCTTTGTCCAAATCTATTGTTGTTAAGGTTCCAACCCTTCCTCCATCATTTTACAAATTTCATTCACTCCTCCAACGATCCCATTATACCTTCTTCTAGTCCTCCACAATCTTTCCCATGTAGTTGTTGTCACTACGATAATCAAAGGAGTGGGTGTGCTTGGTGTCCTTGGCAACATTGTCCTCATGTAGCATGGCAATGACAAGGGTGGTGAGAGCATTAATAAGAAGGAGTTGAAGGTTCTTGATGATAGTGAATGCCTTAATTGAAAGGCATTGAAAATTCTTAACATCAAGTCCAAGGATGGTGAGGTTGTAGATGTTGAGGGACCTAATGACATGGTCGAGGAAGTCCATGGGAAGCTTGTTGAGTAAGGGCTTGACAATGTACATATGAAGGTTTGCGGCCCGTGAGGATGGCAACTTTGAACTTGGCCTCATAATAGAGGAACTTGTTGAGGATTTGTAAAGCCACGCAATGAATGCGTTGCGAGATGAGTTGTTAGTGGAGAATTTGATTAATTGATGGTGATTGAAGCATGATTATTACTTATTGTAGTGGTGTCTTGACTTTTTACATCGATTATTTAATGATGGATGTAAAAATGTCTAACTTCCTATATCGGTTGAACAACATATGTAAAAAGTCAAAAATAACTTATGAATACAAAGTCTAAATTAACTACAATGGTAACAGGTAGAATCATGATTTAAAATTGTAATTGTGGTCGTAATTACAATTACAATTATAGTCACATTGTAGTTGTGTAGTCAATGTGATGGAGATTACAACCATTGCGATATGAATTTATAAAATATGTGCACCAAATATAAACAAATTATTATTATTGATATATCTAATATTTTTGTTTATAAAATTGTGTACAATTTTGTTTATTCTTTTCCTGAAAATTCCTAGTAAATTAATTTTTCCTTCTTTCCATTAACTTAAATTTTTCACTAGCAACCCAACTTGACATTCTCACCCATTTCCTAAAATCCTTTCATATTTAATCTCTTCCTATCATTTTAATTAAAAGTTAAAATTCAAAATTTTTAGCAACCTAGTCCATGTCTCTGATTTCATTATATTTTTACTTATTTTCATTTTAGTTTAGAATCTAAAATATCACTCAAGCAACCCATGTCTATGTCATTTGTGAATGTGTGTTTTAGTCACCCAGTCTCACGTGACCACTTCCCCATTTAGATCTAAATAAATAATTAGTAATACCCTCACTCAAAAAACAAACCAAAAGCAAAAAAAAAAAAAAATCTAGAATCTATAAACACAAATTGACTTCGCCATTCCTTTCTCCCTTTGATCTCAACCTGTTGGTCCCCACGAACCCACAAGGTTCAGAATGCAAAATACAAATTAAAAAAAATAAAATAAAAAAGGAAACAAGCCAGAGAATATATATGGCACAAGCCACGGAGGAGAGGAAGATTCAAAATTGATGTTTAGATTTCAGGAACTTCTGGAATGATTCTCTCTCTCTCTCTTTTAATGAAACAGTGAAAAAATAGTTTTTGCGAGCAACATTGTTAGGGGTGTTGTTTTTTTAAAAAACCGATCCAAACCGAACCGAACCGATTTATAAAAGTGGATCGGTTTTTTATAAGGTAAATCGGTCTGGTTTTTTTAAAATATGGATCGATTTTTTTGAAATTGGATCGGTTTGATGCGGTGCAATTATCCACTTTTCACTCATATATGGATCTATTTTTTTAAAAGATCAAACTGAACCGAACCGATCCATTTTGTAAAAATAGATCGGATAACTGAACCGATTTTATAAAGTGATTCGGTTCGGATTTTTTTTCAAAATGGATCGGATTTTTCAATATGGATCGGATTGGTTATAGATCAATTCGGATCAATTTGAATTTTTTTCACACTCCTAAACATTGGAGACACAACATGGTTGCGATGCAAAAAAGATAAAATAAAAAATTGTGACTTTCATTCACACCGCGATTGCGATGCTACGAGAAGGTCCACAATCGTAATATTACGGTCACAATAAGTAATGTGGACCGCAATTTGAAATCATGAACATATCATAAACTTGATTTCAAATACAACTCCAAGAAAATGGAACAACATCACAAGTTGATTAGGATTATGGTAAATGAACAAAACCAATGTAGCAACGTGTGGTAATAGACTTAATATATATATAT